CCCGCGCCTGCAAAAGACGTTCCTCTTCGACCACATCAAGCGCACCGTCTCGGATGTGCAGGAGCTGAAGCCGGCAGAAGCCGAGGTCGAGGAGCAGAGGAAGGCGCTCGAAAAGGCGCACGACGAGTACGTGCGCGACAGGTATCCAGACGGCGTCAGCTCGGTGTTTGCCGTGTCGAGCGCGCCCGTCCAGGAGGCAGAGGCGTTGGCCGAGTCGGTGCAGAAGGCGGCCGAGAGCGATGCAAGCGCACCTGCGGAGAACACGGTGGCCGTCAGCGCCGACAAGGAGGACAAGGACGACGAGCCCAGTGCCGAAAGCGGCGAGGCTGCAGCAGACGACAAGGACGACCCGGTGGCGGCAGTGGAAGCCGCCGAGGCTGTCGAGTCGTCCGCTCCCGCTCCTGCCGCCGCCGCAGCGCCGCGCGTTGCTGTCAAGACGACGTACGTGCTGCACCACGTGGGCAACCGGTACAACCTGTCGAACTTTTGGTCGGGACGATGGCGGGCGTCGTACGTGCTGGATGCCGAGGCGGGCGTGCTGACGGCGTCGCTGGGCGTGCACGTGCACTACTTTGAGAACGGCAACGTGCAGCTCAACGCGTCGCGCCCGCGCACCTTCTCGCTCACCTCCTCGGGCGCTACTGCGATCGCCAGCGAGGTGGCAAAGCTCGTGGCGCAGCACGAAGACGCGTGGCAGGCGCAGCTCGAACAGGCCTACGACCAGCTCGCCGAACAGGCCTTCAAGGCGCTCCGTCGACAGCTTCCCCTCACGCGCCAAAAGCTCGACTGGGACAAGGTGCTCAACTACAAGCTCGGCGACCAGCTCGCGCGGTCCTAATCGCACTCTCCCGCCAATGATCCATCGCACACCTTGTAGCAGGTTTGGAAAGAAGTGGTATCACGTATTTTCAAGAGTCTCATGACGTTTAGAGGACAAGTCTTTTTTTGGACAAGGAGCGCGTTTAGTAGGCCTTGCGGAGGCCGTTGTGCCATGCGTCGTCACGGATGATCTCGGCGGCGCGCTCTGCGACCATGAGGATGGTGAGCATCGGGTTGATGGTGGGCAGCGTGGGGAGGACACTTGCATCGCACACCCTGACGCCGTTGAGACCGACGATCCTGAGGTCCTTCTCGTCGACGACCACCGAGTTGTCCTTGCCCTTTCCGCCGTGCATCGGCGCGGGGGTCCCCATCCTGCACGTTCCTGCCGGGTGGTAGACGGTATGCGCCACCTTCCTGGCGTATTCACCAATGTCCTTATCGTTGGTGATCTTGGGGCCGGGGGCGATCTCCTTGACGAGGTGCTCCTTGAACGGCGACTGCTCGGCGATCTTGCGTGCCCACTTGACGCCCTCGATGAGGATGCGCTCGTCGTAGTTGTCCTTGTCCTCAAAGTACTTGAAGTCGAGCAGCGGCTTGTCCTTGGGGTTGGCCGAGGCGAGCGAGACCTTGCCGCGCGCCTGGGAGCGGCAGATGTTGGGCGTCATGCAGATGGCGTGCTTGGGACGTTCGTATCCGACGCGCTCCGTGTTGTCCGCAAACGGCACCTGGTAGATGTGGAACATGAGATCCGGTCCCGGATGCGCGTTGGGCTCGGCATCCTGCGGCAGCACGCGCAGGAAGAGGCCGGCATCCGAGGACATGACCGTCTCGGGAGGAGTGTCGCGCGTCTCCCACATGACGATCGACTCGGGATGGTCGGTGAGGTTCTCGCCCACGCCTGGCACATCGTGCTTGCACGGCAGTCCGAGCGCCTCGAGATCCTTGCGCGGACCAATGCCCGAGTGCAGCAGCAGACGCGGCGTGTCGATGGCACCCGCGCACAGGATGACCTCGCGGCGCGCAGTGAGCGTCTTGGACAGACCATGCTTGGTGGTGACCTTGACGCCCGTGACCTTGCTCGAGTCGTTCGCCGCGTACTCGAGCTGGTTGGCCCACGTCTCGAGGAAGAGGTGCAGGTTGTGGCGCTTGTACGGACCGTGCGGCATGATCGGGTGGAGGTAGGCGACGGAAGCGCTGCTCCTCTGGCCCGAGTACGGGTCGTAGGCAATGTCAAAGAAGCCCACCGCCTTCTGGAATCCACCGCGGTGCACAATGTGCGCATTGAGATCCTCGAGCACCGGCGCGCCCGTGGCGCGCGACGAGGCGAGCACCCAATCGCGCGCCACCTGGTTGCGCTGCTGCGGGGCGACGGGCACGATGTTCATCTTGAGGCGGTCGCCGTACGGCTGTACGTTGCTGGCGTTCCACGAGGGGCAGCCGTAGTTGTTGCTCCAGTCGTCCAGGTCGGCGTTGAAGGGACGGAAGGAGATGAGCGTGTTGTGCGACGAGCAGCCGCCGAGCACGCGCGCGCGCGAGTGGCGGATGAACGAGTTGCCGCGCGGCTGCGGCACCGTCGGGTAGTCGTAGTCGAGGTCCGAGCCGAGCATCTCGAGCCAGCGGCTGAGGTCGAGCACCATGTCGTTGCCCACGTCCGTCGGGCCGCCCTCGATGACGGCAACGGAGACGTTGCGGTCCTCGGTGAGACGGTTGGCCAGCACCGCGCCCGCCGTGCCGCCGCCGACGATCACATAGTCGAACTCGGTGTTGCCGCCGGGCAGCAGGTGCGACGCGAGCGAGGCGAGACGCTCGCGCGCCGTGGGGCCCGAAGACGTCGACGGCGTCGGGTTGGCCGGCTTGTCCTCGACCGTCTGGCCGTGGACGGGGTCGGTGTCCGGCCTGGCAGGGTTGGGCTTGGGGGCCATGTTGAGGGGAAGTCGGGGAGGGAGGAGTCTACAGCTAGGGTCAGGGCTACGTTCTATGAAGCCCGATTGTCTCTACCGTCTGAGGGGATAGTAGGAACTGACGATGGTGTTGAGGAAGAGAGGAAGAGGAAGAAGATAGGAGGGCGAGCGATTGAAGACGAGAGGCTCTTATACACGAGCCACCGATTCTTTCTGGCCAAGGTGGGGCGAGAAAAAACAGTGCCGGCATCCGGTGCCAAGTCTCGCGGTCCGAAACTGCAACAGCAGATGGGCTTGCTTTGATCGCGCCTAGCGGGCCGCGAGACGATGGCAGGGTTCACCCGCGGATCGAGCGATGCAACAAAAGATAGTGGGGCCGCCCTGCCGCCACACACAGGAGCAGCAGCAGCAGCAGCAGTAGCCGCCAACACTGGCAGCTACTACGGCCTGTTCATTTGCGCACGGCTTGAAAGATTGCCACGGGCCACCTTTTTTTGGTCCTCTCGCTTTGGGAGCGAAGACTCCGCATGCTTTTGCAGCGAAATGACGATTTCCAACGCAAGTTTTTTGGTCCGCCCTTCCACACGCGCCCGCATCAAGCCTAGCCTGCGCAATCTCCCGCTGCTGCCTCGCTGAAGTTTTGAACGCGGACAATTTTTCAAAATTCCGGCTGGCTGGACGAGCAGCTGCATCTGCAGATGCACGCTGTGCTGGACCCTTTGGCTCGCCTCTCCACACCCGACTCCTGCCACAAAGTCGGCCCGCGGCTCATCACATAAGCGCGGTGTGTTAGACCGGTCGCCTTCGGAACAGTGCCGCGGCCCAACTCTCCTCACTTTCTCCTCCTCGTCACGGTCGGGATCGGCAAGATCGGCGTCTTTTCTGTACGCTGATCTGTCCTCAGCACTTTCGATCGCTCGGCCTGGGGTCTATGCGTCAACTCGCAAAGCTCGATTGCACGTCAGCAGCTGGGACTGTGGGGTATCTGGCGAGGCGGGCACTCAGGACGAGCCAGGGTAGTCGGTGGTGTTCAGAGGCGGTCGACCGGTGGGTGTGATGCGGCGTGCACCACCACTGTCACCACCGAGCTCACCTCCAAGCCCGCCGCTGCTTCCCAACTGCACCGGGCCACGGAGCGAGTCGACCGTTGCCTTGACGGAGCTGATGCTGAATCCATTGTACAGCTTGCTCGCCCCTCCTGCGTCGGCTTGGCCGTCGTCGGCATCGAACGACTGCACCGTCACTCCGGGCACGTCAACCTCTTCGTCCTCGGCAGCTTGTGTATTTTCACCAGCCCCTCTCAGCCAGGCCGGCTGGAAGCTGCGCATGGCTGGGGCTGTGCTTGGAGCCAGAATCACCTCGGGAGTGCCCAAGCCCCCGCTCCCTCTCCCTGCGCTCTGCGTCCCCGATCCTGCCTCGCCCCATACCTGCGGCTGATGCGATTCGATGTGACTGCCCGTATCGCGCAGATCGGCCAGCGCCTTCATCAGATCCTCCGCCAGCGTGTCTCGATTCGGCGGGTCTTCTCGGATCGGCTCCCATCCGACCGGTGGACTGCCCGGCGGCGAAATCAAGAAGTTCTTGTCCGTCGTAGGCACCGCCAGTGTCTCTGGCTCCGTCGTTGGATCCGTCCTTGGGCCAAAGATGGCCCGAAGCATAGTCCCATCGTCTGCATCCACAGCGCGCTCCACACCTTGCACTTCACTGTCCTCGAAAGGCAGCACGAGCCGATCCAGCCCCTGCTTGGCCAGCGTCGCTCCTTCGATATCTTCAAACACCACCACTGCCCGTCCCACCGACGGCAGCGGCGTCCAGCGCACCATGGGGCCATACGTGTTGAGCAGCGAGAGCAGAAGCGAGCAGATGTGCGGGATGAAGAACTCGTTCGGCAGGCTCGACAGGATCAGCGTATTGGTCGCCCCGGCAACGCTGCTGGATGCCGTGTCATCCGCTCCGACTTCCGGCACGAGCGTGCTTGTTTCGGAAGCGTCCGGCCACTGCATGACACTCTCGAGGTGGACAAGGTTGCGCTGTGCAGAGAGGCAGATCCGTGGACGTTTTTGTGTCAGCCAGTGTTTGCACTTGAGCAGGCGACAAGACTTGCCGGCGACATGCCGCCCTCTAGTACGGGCGGAAGCGTGAGTCGGGGGTCTGGAAATCGGTTCTCACCCTGCCAGTCTCGCTGAGTCCTTGCTCGTCGCCCTCTACGTCCTCGTGGTCTCCGTTCGTTTCAGCGTCGTCGAAAGCGCCATCGTCTTCGCCCTCAAGTTCTTCGGCAGAGGCGCCCGTCCCGAAAGGTGCAAAGCCGGCGAATGGATGTCCGCCGTCGTCTTCTGTTGGCCCCGATGGATGCAGCGAAGCGCAGTGCGACAGCACTTCGAACAACTGATCCAGCGACGCAGCATCGGGCGTGCAGATGTACATCTCGACAAACTCGCCGTCCTCGTCCTCGTCCTCGTCGTCGCCCATCTGACCGGCACCTGCGTTGGGGCTCAGATCGAGCTGACAGTACAAGCAACCGTTGAAGCCA